TTCTGTACATACCTGAACTACAGCGTGAGCAACATGGATAGCACCACTAAAAAGCAAAACTGATAATTACGTTATCAACGCAGGGGCAAAATAGGAATATAAAATCACCACGCTCACGGCTCCATCCAAATCCAATAGATGTCTCACACGTCACCCCGTAATCAGCACAGAACGTTCCGTGGCGGTGAAAAATTTTATAATTTAAAATCTACAAAAAGAACACAAAAAATTAAAAAATAAAAAAAAATAAAAAAAAAAGAGTTCTCTTTCTCTCTCTCCCCCTTCCTCTCCCTGGGGCTTCGCTCTCTCTCTGTCTTTCTCCTGAGCGATTTTCTTCATCATCTTCTGGGTTAGGGTTTTGTACTTCTGTCTGATATGATCTTATATTTTTAAGTCTGAATTTTTCTGGAATTTTTTTGGGGTTTTAATTTGATTTTCTTGATGGGTTTCATTTCTGACCTCAAAAAACAGGGGCTTATCGGATGCCGTTTTGAGCTTCAAGATCGGCTTAAGGAAATCATTTCGTATCTTCTCTAGCCCAACAGGTCGGGTTTTTGTATACTTATGTACTGTTATTTATTTGTACGTTAGCCTTTATCAGTATTTTTTGTTTGTACCTTTGAGGGTTTTCCTTGATTTTTATCTGGGTTGAGTTATCTGATTCATTGCATGCATGATATCGAGTTTTTCGTTTATTTTGGGGATGATGGGAAATGGTTTATGAGAAAGTTGGCGTCTTTTTATCATTTTGTGAGGTAAGATGTTTTGCTGTATTCAAAACTTCTCATTTTGGGGTTCCGTATTATAGCTCGATGCATGTATAGTTTTCCAGGTTTTTCTTCTTGTAGTTGGTGTTCCCTTTCCTCTTCTTTGTTTGTGTTGTGTGAATGTGTAGTGGATTCAGTTGTGAATTGTGAGCATTCATCTCATGATTGGAGATACAAATTGCTTGAGTAAGTAGATGGTAAACAGGGAGTCAGGGATTGGTTTGTGCCATATTGCTTCCTGGTTTCCTGCTTGTATTGCTATTTAGATGAGCATCTCAAATTGAAGCATTGCGCAGGGTAGCTAGCTGTACATATCAGGAAATTTTTATTCTTTTAACTATTATGCTTGAATTGTGAATCTGTGATGTTTCACTGCTTCACATTGGGCTGTTAGAAATTTTTTTTGGTTATTCTATGTTATATGAGTCGAGTTCTGGTTGCCACTTTATGTGTAATTCTGGGAATATAGTTAAGAAAAAGGGTGTGGGTATGACCATGGGTAGAGAGTTTTCAAAGGTCAATAAGACCTTGGTTGTTTATATTTTGGTTCTTTCTTGTGTTGGTCAGTTGGTGACATTGTTCAATTGATCAATTCATTTATAGTTGCTGGATGTATGTTTTATTTAATTATGATTATTGTGTTTTGTTTTGAGTTTTGACAGCCAGAAAAAAAAATGATTATTGCATAATGTTGTATAAAGAATAATTAGCTACAATAGATGCATGAGTTTAGTCATCACTTAAAAATGTTATGGGAAGCCAGGTGTACAAGCAGAAGACAACAGTGAGCAATACTTTGTATTTGTTTTCAATTAAGTATGATGAAAGGCAGAGGGCACCATGCATTACATTTACATTTTTTCCATGTTTATATGTGAGGAATTTTTTTCATTGTTTACTTTCCATTTGTTTCGACTTTCATAGCTTTCAAAATCAACTCTTGTTTCGAATTATGTGTTGAACTGGAAATATCCACTGTTTGTAAAAGGATAGCTGATTAATTAATGTCAGTTATCATGTCAATTATCCTCTTATTGCTAATAAGGGAGGCACATAAATAGCACCAACACAATATATGTAGACAAATTAATAGTGAGAAAACAGTTCAGATACATTGCATAAAAATATATATAGAAGTATAATACATATGGCATGCACTTGACATGATGTACATGTATTGCTAAACAGTTGCAATCGATGTGACACGTGGCATGTAAGCTTTTAAGTCCTTGGATTTTGGATGTCATAAATGAAGTTTTTCCTCATTGATTTCTTTACACTTTGTTGAAAAGTTCAACTACTGTCCAGGTTTTTTCTTATATATACAATAAAACAATTCTCAATTATTTGCTTTTTTATCTATCATTTTGAGTTCCAATCATTGCTTATTGGGGTTTTTAATCACTCTTTTTTCAAAGGGTTAGTATTTTTTCATTCATTGCTTTTTTGTCAGAAAGTTTGCATGCGAGTACCATTGAACATTTAAGTGTGAATTATCTTTGTTGCTTGGGATTTTTATTTTCCTTGTTTAGAATCTTAGATTAGATTTATATGAATTTGGTGCAGGAGAGGTGAAGAAATGGACCATGACAAGACCGAATGCCAGGCTCCTCCTGAAGGCCCTATCTTATGCATTAACAATTGTGGTTTCTTTGGAAGCCCAGCTACTATGAACATGTGTTCCAAGTGCCACAAGGATATGCTTTTGAAGCAAGAGCAGGCCAAGCTTGCTGCATCATCTATTGGTAGTATTGTGAATGGATCATCAAGCAGCAGCGGGAGTGAACCAGTTCTTGCTGCTGGTGTGGATGTCCAAGTCAATTCTGTGGAGTCAAAGACCATTTCTACTCAGCCATCATCTGCATCTGGCTCAGGGGTGAGTGCAGAGGTAAAGCCAGAGGGTCCTAACCGTTGCGCCACTTGCAAGAAGAGGATTAGCCTAACAGGGTTCAAATGTCGCTGTGGTGACCTCTTCTGCGCATCACACCGCTACTCAGACAAACATGACTGTCCCTTTGATTACCGCACTGCTGCACGAGATGCAATAGCTAAAGCCAACCCAGTTGTTAAGGCAGAGAAGCTAGATAAAATCTAGATAATCTGTGGAATTTAGTTGACTGAAGTATGTTGCTCATTTCATTCCAGAAACTCCCGTTTTGGCCACATGGCATATCTGCTGTCCCATTCTATTGTTATATATGCGGGATGCACTGGTGGTATAGGACATCCATGCGCTATGAACTCCACATCTTTTGCTTGCTGAAGAATTGGCATGTTGGCATCAGTTTTTGTCTTAAATCTGTGATGGTTTGGATTCTTGTTATGGTTAGCGTTGTAATGTTTCATTCTGTTTCACATGGCTTCTCTCCGGTCCTTACTGCTTTGTTGGAACCAATATGTGCAAATTTCCGGAGATAAGAAGACATTATGGGTGCGATTTGTTGGTGGCCGTGTAAATGTCAATCATGCTTTTCAGTTTATCTTCCCTCTATTGAATACATACATGTCTCAACAAATCTAGTATTTGCATTAGCAGTTCTCCCAGCATAGCTTGTTCACTGGTATAATAATCTTACGTGTTTGGTCTGAGGAAAGCTCTGCCCGGAGAATAATGTTGGAAGTTGTCAACCCTTGCAAGGAAATTTTGTTTATATTTTTTCAGATTTGGTAAGAAAAAAAAACTTGCCAAGTAATCCTTAAAAAATATGGGGGGAAAGATTTACCATCCATAATTAGGTGAAAAATTGGGACAAAGATGCCAACCCTTTCTATCATCGCATTGTGATGGTATTGAGGTGTGTAAAATATAAAAAATTGACGGGATAATTCAATTTTTAGTCTATTAACTATCACCTTGATTTCATTTTAGTCTAAAAACTATGTTTTATTTCTAAGTGGTCTATTAACTTTCAGATTCATTTCAATTTCGTCTATTTTGTCAAAGATAACGGAAACTTCTTATTCCGTTAGAGAACAGTTAGTCATCTAACTTTTTTTTTTGATCTTTTAGTCCTCAAATTTATATTTGTTATAAAAACAGCTTTTATACTTGAAATTATTATTTGTAGGCTTTGATACCAGATTCTTATTCGGGTTATCAGAACTTAACTCAGATTACTATTAACTAATGAATAGCTGGTATGTTAAGCTCAGTTAGTGTGGAATTTGATTTACTAGATTGCTAATAAAGATAATCACTTTCTAGTTGTGTCTAAATCTTATAAAAAATTTTATTTATATCACTTTCTAGTTGTAGAATTATTCTGTTATACATTTTTAAGATTTGATTGCAAATTTTTCAACGATTGCTTTTAATATCTTAAAAATTTCTTTTATTTTGATTTCTATCTCTCTTACTTGAAATATCAGAGTTTTTGAGTCTTTAATAGACCTTATTTCTTCTAGACCTTATTTCAAATTTATTGAGTAAATACATGTTAATTTGATTTATTTGTTAACATATATTTACTCAATACAATAGGAAAAAATATAATAGATATAGAAGATACAATTATCATAGATAATATTCTAAAAATAGAAACAATTAATGAAAATACCCTAGGAAGAATTAAAGAAATGAGAAAATCCCTTTCTCAAGAATTTGATTCTATTAAAGAAAGAATAAATAATGTCAAAAACTCTAGAAATTTGAAAGAAATAAACGAAGAAATAAGGTCTATTAAAAACTCAAAAACTCTTATATCTCGAGTAAGAGAAATAGAAATCAAAATAGAAGAAAATTTTAAGATATTAAAAGCAATCGTTAGAAATTTTGCAATCAAATCTTAAAAATGTATAACTTAATAATTCCATAACTAGAAAGTGATGTAGATAAAAAATTTTATAAGATCTAGATACAACTAAAAAGAGATTATCTTTGTTAGCAGTCTAGTAGATCTAATTCTACACTAATTGAGCTTAACATATTAACTATTCATTAGTTAGTAGTAGTTTAAGTTAAGTTCTGAAAATCCGAATAAAAATCTGGTATCAGAGCCTAGAAATAATAATTTTAAGTATAAAAGTTATTTTTATAACAAATATAAATTTGAGGACTAAAAAATAAAAAAAAATATAGTTAGAGGACTAACTATTCTCTAACATAATAGCAAGTTTTCCGTTATCTTTAACAAAATAGACGAAATTGAAATGAATCTGAAAGTTAATAGACCACTTAGAAATAAAATTAGTTTCTAGACTAAAATGAAATCAAAGTGATAGTTAATAGACTAAAAATTAAATTAAGCCAAAAATTGACTGGAAAAAACTTTTCCAAATCCAACTCAACTAGTGATTCTCCAACCTTTTATTTGGAATTTGGATAAATAAAAAAATAATCAATTTAAAAAAAAAAATAAATAAATAAACCCTCTTTTGTGCATGCTAGTTCCTCGATGCAATTCTAATTTGCAGATAGATCCATGGGGGCTTTTAGAGGAAAGATTGAATTGTAGCCCTGCCAGGCACTCTGGCAGAGTGATTCATCCAAAAGCAAAGAGAACGTTCAGTGACTCTTTACCAATGATCTGGATTTTTTCAGCTTAATGCATCTCTTATCATTCTTTCTTTTGATTCCCAAAAATGGTAAATAAAATTGAGTGCACGAGAGCCTGATATCCACAATTGTATTTAAATTAAAGTTAGCCTGTGTCAAATCTAGAAAGAACATTAGAGTGAAACCTCCAGAGTTTACACCCTTCTGTTCTCCTGTTATTCTCTGCTTTCTCTATCCTAAAATGGCTTGACAAGCCCTGAAGGAAAAAAGTACAAAAATACTCGGAAATCACAAACAAGTTAGAATCACAGAGACATTCCACGAGATTCCGCCTCAAGATACTTGCAGATCCTCTCCATAACCTCGCGACCCTTGGCACTATTCTGCATGAACCTCTCTGCACATCGTT